GATTAAACCCATGGTTCTCCTCCACGGGGCAGCATTACTCGGTCGGTCAGATACAAAGATGAACACAGCAACTGTACAGCCACAGTGTCAACCCTAAGAACCACCATTGTGTCTGACAGCGGGAAGCATGGCTGTGCCAGCACAGTGGCCTGCACACAGTGAAGAGGGCAGCGATGCCGCTCCCGCATAACTGGCAAACACCCGCTCGAAGCCCACGGTGCTCCTGCGTGCACTCGGCCAGCCAGGGAGCTTCGCTAGACTCCTCACCGGGAGTCGTTTCTCCCTCCTGTTGCATGTGATATGTGGCCCCAAGTGCCTCAGTCTGCTAACAACCCGTTCTTCATCCTGTTTAATGTGGAATTCTGCAGGAAGCTGGAGGAAAAAGATACAAGCACTCTTGTTGAAGGTATTTGAAACAAAAGAAGTGAACTAAACTAAAACGATACGAAACTTAAAATACAATAAAACTCCTGACACTGTGAAGGATATTAACAAATTAGTATTAAGTAGGCTACTCAGACAATTCTGCATTCGAGTGTTTTAATGTAGGGGGATGTTAAGTGGCCACGAGGGACCAGAAGTGGAAACGGCTTCTCAACGCCGCATGACTTGGGGCACTGCATGTCTCCTCTGCGAGCCACACCGAGGCTCCCTGAGTCAGAGCTGTCATGGGGAGTCCTCTGGTTCCATACGTCTGTGTTTATCTCACTGAATCCCCACAGTGACTCTCAAGACAGGCACGAGCTGCTGGCTGAAACCTGGGTTTGTGGCTGGAGAGAGCTGCAAGTCTGGATATTTTAAGGTGGATCTTATCGCCTGAGGGACTAATAGCATTCATTAGAAGTCTAGTCCCAGAAATCAATTTTATCCCTATACAAATACTGAATTGATTATTTAAAAAATGATAAAAGTATTCCAGCACTTTGGGAGGGCGAGGCAGGTGGATCACTTGAGGTCAGGAGTCCAAGACCAGCCTGGCCAACATGGTGAAACCTTGCCTCTACTAAAAATATAAAAATTATCCATTCATGGTGGTGGGTACCTGTAGAATCAGCTACTCAGGAAGCTGAGGCAGGAGAATCGCTTGAACCTGGGTGATGGAGGTTGCAGTGAGCCAAGATCGCACCACTGCACTCCAGCCTGGGTGACAGATCAAGACTCCGTCTCAAAAAAAAAAAAAAAAACCAAAAAGATAAAAATAAGGTACAAACATATGCCTTGCAAAGATCTTTAAAAGCCTCTGGACAAATATTTATAATAATGTCAGAGTCTTCTTTTTTTTTTTGAGACAGAGTTTCGTTCTTGCTGCCCAGGCTGGAGTACAGTAGCGCAATCTCAGCTCACTGCAACCTCCAACTCCCGGGTTCAAGCAATTCTCCTGTCTCAGCCTGCCGAGTAGCTGGCATTACAGGCATGCACCACCATGCCTGGCTAATTTTGTATTTTTTTTTTTTGAGACGGAGTCTCTCTCTGTCGCCCAGGCTGAGTGCCGTGGCGCGATCTTGGCTCACTGCAAGCTCTGCCTCCCACGGGGTTTCTCCATGTTGGTCAGGCTGATCTCAAACTCCCGACCTCAGGTGATCCACCCACCTCAGCCTCTCAAAGTGTTGGGATTACAGGCATAAGCCACTGCACCCAGCCAATATCACAGTCTTATAAGGAGTTAGGAGTTTCTGACCGCACGACTCTGGCTATATCCTCTTATAACAAACCTGGTGAAACCAGACTCAAGATTACGTCTTCTCTTCCTGGTAAATCTCCTGAATTCAGCCTCCATTCAAAATCAGGATCATCATTGCAAATTTTCTCTTTGCCAGCAGGAAGTTTTCCTGTGTCCAAAATCAGAGAACCAATGGCAAATGCCAGGCCACTCCATCCATCTTCCCATCAGCTTCCTGTAAAATATTTAAATCAGAACACATTTGCATCTTTGCTGAGCTTCCTTTTAGTGTGTCCACTGACTCTGCCATTAGTACTGGAGGCTGCTCTTGTTAGCTTTACAAGGCTTCTGCCAGTGGCAGTGCACACGAAGCTCTGCTAAGTGAAGAACCAGCCGCTTAATAAGTCCTGTTGGATGGGTGGTGCAGAAAGCCGGGGGAGATATATAACTTGTCTAAAGTTTTGAGCATAAGTGTCACTCTGAACTTGACTTCAATTCTAACTAAAAATCTATCTTATTTTTGCCTCAATGTGAAAACTCTCTAATGATAATAATAATAGACTTGTTGAACACATGAAAGTTTCAGACATGAATAGACATTTATCCAAAGACGATATACAGTTGGCCAATAAGTACACAAAAATGCCCTCACCGTCACTTATCACTAATGAAATGCAAATCAAAACCACCATGAGGTCCCATTTCACACTCATTAAAACGACTACTATACACAAACAACAGCAAAAAAACAAACAAAAAAAAACCATAAAATAACAAGTATTGGCAAACCATGTAGAAAACTTAGCACCCGTGTGCATTGCTGGTGGGAGTGAAAAATGATGCAGCCACTGTGGAAACAGCATGGAGATTCCTCAAAAAGCTAATTTGCATAGAAGTACCATGTGATCCACCAATCCCACTTTGGGGAAATACCCAAAAGAAGTGAAAGCGGGAACTCAGATATCTGTACACCCGTGTCTCCAGGGACATCATTCACAATAGCTAAAAGGTGGTTAAACAGCGGAAACAACCCCAATGTCCACTGAGGAATGAACGCATAGACAAAATGTAGCCCATCCACACCAAGCAACGTCAGTCTACCTTAAAAAAGATTCAGACACATGTTACAACACAGATGAACCTTGAGGACATTATGCTACATGAAATCAACGAGTCACAAACGGACAAATACTTTATGATTGGATTTAGAGGAGGCAGCAAGAGTAGTCAAATTCATAGAGACGGTTGAATGATGGTTTCCAAGAGCTTGCGGAGGTGAAATGAGGACTTGTGTTTATGGGTACAGAGTTTCAGCTGTGCAAGATGAAAAGCGCTCTGGAGACGCATGGTGGTGACGGTTGCACAACTAAGTTAATGTACCTAATGCCACTATGCTGCACACTTAAGAGTGGTAAAGATAGTAAATTTTGTATCATGTGTACTTAGGCACAATTTTAAAAACAGTTAAGAAATTAGCCTGGTGTGGTGGCGCACGCCTGTGGTACCAGCTCTTTGGGAAGCTGGGGCGGGAGGATCGTTTGAGCCTGGGAGGCAGAGGCATGATGCTCAGTGGTTCATGCAACTCACCACCTTATTTGTACTCTTAGAACATCCCCTCAAGACAGTTGTTATCAGCCTCACATGACAGATGAGGAGATGCACCATGCAGGCTGATGGTCCCAGCGCCCACAGCAGGACACTGGACCCAGCACATCCAGACGACAGCAGAGATGACACTACCGAGAGCACAGAGGGTGCTGCAGGGGCTCCGACTGGCAACAGCAACTTGCTTCTTAGGAAATGGGCCTCAGACTCCTGTGCCTCCAGCCCTGAGACCTGAAAGCCCCTCCCAACAGGGTTGGAAGCAGGCAGGGAAGCCATTTACCATTTAGAAACGATGAGGCGTAGTTGCTAAAGTTTCCAAGCATCTCAGTTCTGCTGTGAAATAGCCATGCACGAAGGAAAGCTGAGGTAGAGGTTGTAGTGAGCTGAGCCGAGATTGTGCCGCTCCAGCATGGGTGACAGAGCAAGACTCTGTCTCAAAAAATAAAAAAGAAGGAAAGAAAGAAAGAAAGAAAGTAAAAGGAAGGAGGGAAGGAAGGAAGGAAGGAAGGAAGGAAGGAAGGAAGGAAGGAAGGAAGGAAGGAAGGAGAAGGAAAGCTGTCTGCATGGTCAGCTGCTTGTAGTCTGAACCTTGCTCTTTATGTGTCATGCTAGCAGAAAGACAGCTGAGCTTCTGCTCAGGTAACTTGGTATTTAATGAGTGTATATTTCTCCTCTTTGGCATTTGCCTTAAAGTCCTAACATTAATTACATGGTGTGATTTTATCCACCCAAGAAATGCTAACCAATTAACTACTACGTGCAAGAAAATCCTAAAGGTAAAAATTTTGTATCTTATTCTTAAGAAATCTACATCCTCCTAGATTTGAATTTCCATCTTCTCTCCGCATTCTCTTTTAGATAGACCAGCTAGAAGAGATATGTGTGAGGATGGCATCTAAAAAGCAAACCAAAAAGAACAGGTTCTGCACAGCCAACACCCAGTACTTAGAGTTTAAAATGTGAAATTGGCCGGGCACGGTGGCTCACGCCTGTAATCCCAGCACTTTGGGAGGCCGAGGCAGGCAGATCACGAGGTCAGGAGATCGAGACCATCCTGGCTGACACAGTGAAACCCCTTTTCTACTAAAAACACAAAAAATTAGCCAGGTGTGGTGGCGGGTGCCTATAGTCCCAGCTACTGGGGAGGCTGAGGCAGGAGAATGGCGTGAACCCGGGAGGCGGAGCTTGCAGTGAGCCGAGATCGGGCCACTGCATTCCAGCCTGGGTGACAAAGTGAGACTCCGTCTCAAAAAAAAAAAAGAAAAGAAAAGAAAAAGAAAAATTGTTTACAATTGTTTCCAGCCATTGTAGAGGCTCTGAAGGAGATTTCCCTTTTGAAGTCAATAACAACAACAGTGTAATACACCTGAATATTGCTAGCAGGGAAGCATGAAGTGTGGTTAACGTCGACACAGGAAAACAATTTCCTCCTTGATCCGTCAAAACAAATGAACTTAGAAACAGACACTGTAAGAACCCAGAATATTGAAAGTATTGGGGTGAGTGCCACACCCTAATGTGGGAATCTCGTGACTGTAAGGAAGCCTCTTCCGTAAGTCTTGCTTTCTGCAAGTAAAACTGGTGGGGGTAAATGTGGAATTGGTGAAGAAGGAGGCGATCTGCCGTTTTTGGAAGTCTTTAATTGCAGGCCAGATTCTGAGTAATGATACCCTGTTGCCCTACCAATCCTCAGATATTTTTAACCACAAATTTATTTTTATCACTTTTGTTTTAGCCATTTCAATGGGAGGAAGTCATCTTCTGCATCCTCTTGTGATCTTCTGTGGTATGTTTTGGAGAAAATAGCTCAAATGCATTTCACACCTATAATTTGATTGCTTGGAAAGGACCCCAGGCCTTGGCAGAGCCAGTGGTGAGATCCTGTGGTGACGAGCCCGTGGTCCCCTGGGGTCCTGCTTCCGCAGCCCGGCTGACGTGGAAGTGACAGCATTCACGTTTCTCCCACATAGAGACACTTGGATTCCTGTTCTATTTTAGGCTCATGGAAGGTTCCAAGGGTGACTGATATTCCCCAGCATGCACAGGGGATCTCTTTTCCATCTCCGTCTGTGCTACCATACTATCCATTCTTGTCCCCACTCCGTGATGTATTCGTATTTATCAAAGGCAGATTTGCATTACCGTTTCTAAAATGCCATTTCTTTCAACCTAAGTTACCATCCCCACTCCCTCTGCCACCTTCTGATCGTGAGTTGATTTTTGTGTCTCCATATTTACTCACACGCCTTATCTCATCAATCCTTAACTGCGGTGGGCTGTTAGTCTCTTTTTTTATTAATAAAAGTACATGTATGATTACTTCTCTCCTTATTTGATTATTTCAGACTACTAATAGTTATAGGGCACCTAGCAGCTTGTCTTTATAATGAGCATTGAAAGTTCCAAGATTAAAAAAACTCATGGAGTTTATATTCCACCTTTCTTTCGGTGCCATGGCATTTGGTGAAAAGAAGTGCAGCTCTGCTTCTGCTGCGTGAGGGCTCTCCCTGCTCCCACACAGAAGGCGTGGCAAGCAATGCGGCTGAGATGGGCCGCCGCCTGCCTGGAAGGGGCACGGCCACGTCATGGCCTTCCAGGATCCTGGCAAATTTTATTTCCCACGTATAGCCTATCATTTCCTTCCCATCCAGGGACCACTTCCCTTCACAGTCACCTGGAGCATTACCCAAAACCATCCCACCTTGAATAAGTGTGGGCATCCCAAATGGCTGCGGCCTCCCTTCTCCAGGCATTCCTGGGTCAGCTTGTTCCCCACAAACCCAACAGGATCTCAGGTTTTCTAATCCGTGTACTTTCTTCGACTTCCCAGCGAGCAAGCTTCGATTCCGTGATTCACCACCTCCATCACATACCCCCACTAGCCTCACCTCCCTTGCTGCTGGTCTGTCTTCCTGCCACACCAGGAGACACACACACTGCACCAAACATCTTTCCAACACCCCCAACCACATCCAGCCATGACTAGACTCTCACACTGGGCCACCATCCCCCTTCCGACATCACCCCAGGGCTGGGTACCAGACAACAAGGGAGAGTCTCTAGGCCCCAGAGCCCACAGAGATTGTTTTCACAACCCAATCCTACACTTGCTGACCCTGCCTTGCCTGTTCTTTCTCACCAAAAGTGCAGTAAAGGTTTCCACCCACAGTACCCCCTTGCCCTCTGACTCCTGGCCACCCCAGTGCTTCTTTGTCTGGCCCCCACCAGCATGCAGCATGGCATGTTCCGCCCTTGGGAACCACAAATCACAAACTATCTTTTCAGTGGCAACCATCTCCAGATCTGCAGCCTCACCATACCTGAATAATAATAAAGCCAGTAAGGCCAAGGCCGGTGGATCACCTGAGGTCCGGAGGTCCAGACCAGCCTGGCCAACATGGTGAAACTTCATCTCTACTAAAAAATACAAAAATTAGCCAGGCATGGCGCATGTGCGTGTAGTCCCAGCTACTCGGGAGACCGAGGCAGGAGAATTGCTTGAATCTAGGAGGTGGAGGTTGCAGTGAGCTGAGATCGAACCATTGCACTCCAGCCTGGGCAACAGGGTGACTCCACCTCAGGAAAAAATAAAAAAATAAAAAATAAAACAATAATAATAATAAAGCTTGCGTTTTAAAAAGCAGACCCCCACCCCAAGAAAACCAGTATCTCCTTGCCAGGAACTGGCATGGGAGCACCCTGGCGATTCAGAAGAAAACCACCTAATAAGGCTAACTGTGTTCACAATGAATTTGCAGTGACAAACAGGCTTAACACTCCTGCAAACCCCACTCACTTCTGCCAATGACACTAAGGCAAGGGCTATTTCAAACCTTCTGGCTCTTCCCATGTCTCCCACCTGAAGGAAATAATGTATACAGTGGTCCATTTCCAAGACAAAGTGCCTTGAATTGGCTTAGGTCAGCAAACTACAGAAGAAAGAGGACGTACTAGGCCCCTGCTTGGATAGCAGATGCCTGCTTGTCAGCCTTCCCCTTCTTCCCCCTTCTCCCGCACCTTAGTTGCCCTCATCCTGTGGGGAAAAGAGAGATCAGACTGTTACTGTGTCTATACAGAAAGAAGTAGACATAAGAGACTCCATTTTGTTCTGTATTTGAGATACTGTTAATCTGTGACCCTATCCCCAACCCTGTCCTTGCAAGAGACATGTGCTGTGGTGATTCAAGGTTTAAGGGATTTGGGGCTGTGCAGGGTGTGCTTTGTTAAACAAGTGCCTGAAGGCAGCATGCTTGTGAAAAGTCATCACCATTCTCTAAATCTCAAGTACCCAGGGACACGTACACTGCGGAAGGTCGCAGGGACCTCTGCCTAGGAAAGCTAGGTATTGTCCAAGGTTTCTCCCCATGTGATGGTCTGAAATATGGCCTCATGGGAAGGGAAAGACCTGATCATCCCCCAGCCTGACACCCGTGAAGGGTCTGTGCTGAGGAGGACTAGTACAAGAGGAAAGAAGGCCTCTTGGCGGTTGAGATAGAGAAAAGCATCTGTCTCCTGCCTGTCCCTGGGCAATGGAACGTCTCCTGTATGTTCTGTTTACTGAGCTAGGATAAAAACCTCCTTAGGGCTGAAGGGGGGACTTGCTAGCGGCAATGCTGCTCTTTACGCACTGAAAATGTTTATGGAGATGTTTGCACATGCATATCAAGGCACAGCGCTTTTCCTTAAACTTATTCATGTCACAGAGATTTTTATTCACATGTCTTTCTGCTGACCTTCTCCCTACTATGATCCTGTTGTCCTGCCACTTCCCCTTTTCCAAGATGGTAAAGATAATGATCAATAAATACTGAGGGAACTCAGAGACCGGCGCCGGTGTGGGTCCTCTGTAAGCTGAGCGCCGCTCCCCTGGGCCCACTTTTTCTTTCTCTATACTTTGTCTCTGTGTCTCATTTTTTTTCTCAAGTCTCTCGTTCCACCTAACGAGAAACGCCCACAGGTGTGGAGGGACAGGCCACCCCTTCATCATCCAAACCAAAGAAGTTTCGTCGAAGATAAAACTTTACTAGTCTGCAAGACAGCTCCGTCTGTCTGTTCTTATCAGCCTGCCCAGCTATTTAGGTCACAAGTCAAATACTTGAAGAGCCCCTGAGCTGACTAGGATTGCAATGCATTGTGGGCTGCAACAAAATGCAGCAAGACAACCCTAAAAACAAACAAACAAACAAACAAAACGAAAACAAAAAACACCTAAAGCCCCTGCCTAACAATCAATAGATGACGTCCAGGAAGATTGTGACCTCATGGTAGTCAGTCCACGAGGAACCTGGGGAGGGACCTGCGCGCCCGGGCATAAATTGCTTGTGGAAACTATGCTGGGTATGCCTCCCCCTCACACACCCGATCTTGCAAGACTGTCATTAAAAGTCTCACTTTCGCTGCTTTCTGGGTCTCTGCGTCCATTCTTTGGGTTTGGACGGGTAAGTTTGTTTCTGACACACCTGCCTCACTTCCCCTCGCTGCCACCACACTTCCTTCTTGACCGAGAACATAGAAACCACTAAAGGTAAAGTTGTCCCTTTCCCCTCACCAAGTGTTTAAACCTGCACACATCTGCTCCTGGTTTTCCTACTCTCCTAGAAGGATAGCAAAGCCTCCCCTTCTCCTGGACACAGCCTGGCCCTCCACGAGGGGCTTGCTCTCCGTCACCCTCTCCACGCAATTCCAGCACAGCTTTCTTTTTCTCTTCAGATGGCCCCTCTTCCCTCTAGTCAGAATCCCCATCTGCAGTGCAAGCACGCCTGAGCCCACGTGCCCACACATCCGTCACCTGACTGCAGGGGCTCTGAACACATGGTCTGAAGGATTTAAAGCAAATCCCAAACGTCCTCACAACGTATCCATAAATAGTTCAGTATGTATCTCTCAAAGATTAGGACTTCTGAAAAATACTACAAAAATACCTGATTGCACCCTAGGAACTTAACAAAAAGTTCTTAATTGCGTAAATTTCTACTCAGTGTTCAAATTTTCCTAATTGATCATCATTTTCCCCAACGGTTGGCATGTATGAATTAGACACCAATATTTATTTAATAGGCCTGAAAATACTTTGTCTATTTTAATGTATGACATTCCCCTGGTTCATTCCGTTTTATTTTGTTACTTACTTGTTAAAGAAACACGGTCATTCGTCCTGTAAAATTGCCCAAATTCTTGTATTTGGCCAACTGCATCTCCCCAAATGTTCAACTTGTTCTTCTATTTTCTAATTTCCCATAATCTGCTAGATCTGGAGGCCTGGTTAGATGCAAGTTTAATTTTTTGGAGCAAATACTTCCTAGATGATGCTGTCAAGTCCCTAGGGCTCAGGAGGCACATTGTACCTGATCACCATTCCTTTCGTCAGTAAAGATTGATTATTTGATTCAGGTGTTGCTTCCATCAAGCCTTTATGATGTTTCCTTCAGCCTTCAACTAATGGTTTGGAAGACTTAAATGATGACTACCTAGATCCATTACCTTATTTAATAAGAAGATGAACATATCATTTATTTATTTATTTATTTTGAGCTGGAGTTTCGCTCTTTGGCCCAGCCTGGAGTGCAGTGGCATGATCTTGGCTCACTGCAACCTCCACCTTCCGGTTCAAGTGATTCTCCTGCCTCAGCCTCCCAAGTAGCTGGGATTACAGGTGCCCGCCATCACACCCAGCTAATTTTTGTATTTTTAGTACAGACTGGGTTTCACCATGTTGGCCAGGCTGGTTTTGAACTCCTGACCTTGTGATCCACCTGTCTCGGCCTCCCAAAGTGCTGAGGTTACAGGCATGAGCCATCACGCCTGACCAAAGATGGCCATATCTTAATCACATCATTTCTTCAGCAATTATTACTTAGATTTATGCCACACAAAGAACCTTTCATACTCAAATATTTACCTACCCTAAGGCATAGTTTGAACAAGAACGGTAGAGTAAATATTTTATTTTTTTTCAAGTCTGCTTTCAGAAGAATGAATTTTCTGCATTGTAAACAAGCTTTTATTTTAAAGTTTTGTTATAATCCCATCTTTGATGTAGTTTGGTCCATTGCCTTTTGCTCTTAACTGCCTCCTCCAGCCATCAGCCTTGGATGTGGATATCAACAAGCACAGTTGGTTCCCTAGCACACCCTCTGACAGCCCAGCTCTTTCCTAGGTCTTGGGAGACTAACCCAGTCAGTGATCTTCTCTTCCAATGAAAGAGA